ACAGTTACCCTTTAACTTAATGCAACAACTTTTTTTGTACCCCTTTTCAATGATCGAGTGGTAATTATTTAGGTATATATTTAAGGCCAAGAATAAAAACAAAGACATAATTACAAAATGCACGCCACTTTTTCAAATATTTGTACTTGAGTGGAGAACAGGAATGTTAATCATCCCTACATCTTGCTTTGCTCCCTGGATTTCACCTTCTCTATCTGGTAACGTGGCAGAGTGCAGATCCTACAAGTTGTACAAGACCTTCAGGAGACTCGCTCCCTTCCTCCCCCACCTCCAGATTCCAAAATCAGAGCGTTCCTTGGACCATTTCTGCTTTTGGGTCAGCCTAGGATCCTGGTGTTTCAGAAGCGACATCTGATTTGGGGCACTGCCAGAAAAGGTGTGAAATGCCCAGCTGGATTACTTACTAGCTTTGGGTTTTTTTTTTCCTTGCTATGAATAATTTAGTCCTCAAGGGCGATGGACACCTCCTTCTTCCTGAGGAAGCTAAATTATTCATTCCCAGCCACTTTGCAACAATAGAGGGAGACGGTATTGGCAACACTTGGGAAAATGTTTCCCGGAACACCACTGATACGAAAAAGGAAGAGAGAGAAAAAAAGAGATGGAGGAAGAAGAGAGGAAAAAGGAAAAGGGAGAGGGAGAGAGAATCACCACTCTTGACTGCTGAGCAGGAAACCGCACACCTTCCATCAGCTTGTCAAACTAAAACCAGACTGCAGTTGATCGGAATGAAACAGGGAGCAACTATTCCTTCTCTTCCCTTGCAACTTCTGTGGTTTTTCTTCTAGGGAACGGATGTTATTTTGATCTCCAAGCAGTGGCTGGGGAAATCAATTCATTTCGCCAAGCCAAGCCAAAGTGTCCAAGTTAGAGATGGGTCAATTGAGAGCCATCAGCAGAAATCAGACCACAGCTGTTCCCCCCAGCTGAAGTCTCAGGATGCCCATTGTGAATCACAAGGGTTTGAAGAGCTCCCTCCATTTCTAAAATGGAAGCCAATTTTTCATAGGTGGGACTTCTTACGTGCATCATGCGAGAAACGCATTTGTTCCACAATCCACTTCTTCGTTGTTCCCCTTTTTTTTTTTAATAGAAAAAATCATTTTGTTTCGTTTTTGTTTTAGTATTATTATTACTATTCCTGGTTTTTTTATATCAAATTTTATTAATTTTATCAAAATATAATGTTTCTATTAACTACTTTGTCACTAATACAGGTACCCTGTTTTCCCCCAAAATAAGGCATCCCCTGATAATAAGCCCAATCGGGCTTTTGAGCACATGGCAATAAGGCCAAGCACTTATTTTAGGGTTCAAAAAAATATAAGACAGGGTCTTATTTTTGGGGAAACATGGTAGTCCTCAACTTATGACCACAATTGAGCCCAATATTTATGTTAGTGAGTGAGAAATTGGTTAAGTGAGTTTACTCCATTTTACGACTTTTCTTGCCCCGTTTGTTAAGCAAATCACTGCAGTTCTTAAATTAGTAGCACGGGTTGTTAAGTGAATCTGGCTTCCCCATTGACTTTGCTTGTCAGAAGGTCACAAAAGTGACCCCAGGATACTGCAACCGTCATAAATGTGAGTCAGTTGTTAAGCATCTGAATGTAAATCACTTGATCATGGGGATGCTGCAATGGTCATAAATGTGAAAAAATGATCATAAATCAGTTTTTTCAGTGCAAGTTTCAACTAAATGAACTGTTGTAAGTCAAGGACTACCTGTATAATATCTAGAAGACAGGTTAATAATTTTCAAATATATTTAGTAGTTTAAAAATTTTGAGAGGGCCTATTTCTCAAGGGTGGGAACTAATGTAATAATAAATAAATAAATAACTTTATTATCATTGTACATGTATACACAGTATACCCATACAAAGAAATTCATCTTAACACCCAAAGACCAGGTCCAACACACATAACAATCCCCAAACACCCCCTCCCCAACCACTACAAATTCCCCACCAATAAAACAACCAAACATCCACACAACGGACCAAGTAATGCTGTCCAACAGCTCACTGATGGTGGCCCTTTAGTTCATTGTTAAATGCAATTATAGCTCTGGGATAAAAACTATTCAGAAAACGTATTGTCCAAGTTTTAATTGTTCTGTGTGTAATAATGTATTAATCAATATTCAACTAGGGGAGATAATATGTGTATACTATGTGTGTTGGCCTTTTTTTGACACACCTTTTTCTTTTTTAATGTTTTGATTGTTTTTTGTTTTTCTTATTTTTTGTTTCTTTTTGGATTTTTGGGAGGAGAGTTTTGTATTTGTATTTTAACTTTGCCTTGAATAAAATTTTATTTTATTTTATTTTATTCAGAACCTGTCAGAACCTGCTGAATTTCACCCCTGGATTGTGGGCTAACAACAGCAGTGAAATCCAGCAGGTTCTGGAGAACCGGTAGTGGAAATTTTGAGTAGTTTGGAGAACCGGCAAATGCCACCTCTGGCTGGTCCCAGAGTGGGGTGGGAATGGGGATTTTGCAATATCCTTCCCTCAGAAGTGGGGAGGGAATGGAGATTTTGCAATATCCTTCCCCCTGGAGTGGGGAGGGAATGGGGATTTTGCAGTAGGAATGAGGATTTTGCAGTATCCTTCCCTCAGGAGTGGGGAGGGAATGGGGGTTTTGTAGTAGGAATGGGGATTTTTCAGTATCCTTCCCCCTGGAGTGGGGAGGGAATGGAGATTTTGCAGTATCCTTCCCCTGCCACGTCCACCAAGCCACGCCCACAGAACCGGTAGTAAAATAAATGTGGATTTCACCACTGGCTAACAATTTTTGTTTTCTTTTTCATAAAAGGATTAGGAAAACCTATGTGGGAATGCCATTCTTGCCAATGCTACCCCAGCCTCAATTAAGCTGGCAAATCAGCCGTTCTCCAGGAAATCTGTACCAACAGACCTCTCCTGCCAGCCTTTTAAACAAAAGACTTCACCGCATTTCCCGAGGGTTAACCAGCACTGTTACTTTTCTCTGGAAAACCACAAGGCAGAGATTGCTTTCCCCATACCAATGGCAAATGTCAAAGCAATACTTAGCACAGTGGTACAAATTAAGCAGTAACACAAATAATAAGGCCCTTCACTTTTCCGCCCGCTCTGTGTTGAAAGAAGTATGTTGGTTTTCATTGAAACGTAATTGGCAGATTTTTGGCATCCATCTCATCCTTTTGGCCTGCTTAGCTATTCAGCAAAGCTGGTTTAAAGGCACAGACAAACAGGAAGGTGTGAAATGGGTTTCCTCAGCCTGAACAACCCAATTACTAAATTTCAGTTCTCAACAACCACAACTTGCATGGCGTGATGGGAGTTGTAGTCCACACAGTTGTCACCAGCCAAGCTCGATAAGGCTGTGGTTAAATTGTGAAGGCATCTTCTGTACAAAACAATAATAGGATCGGGTTCATACTCCATGCTAAACCACAGCTTATTCAACGATCGCCAGTTTGGCGTAGTATTTAAGGCACCAGGCTAGAAAGCAAGAGACCATGGATTTTATCCCATCTTAAGCCCAAAGCCATAATTATCTACTGCAGATTAGATTAGAAGATGAAGAAGTAAAAGAGACAATGTTAACATGGGCGAAAAACTTTGGTTAGGCAATAGAATTAGAGAAATGGCAACAACTATTAGGAAAGGAATTATAAATTGACTATGGCAACTGCATATGAAGAAAAATTATATAAAATGTTTTATAGATGGCATATGCCACCAGAAAAACTAGCAAAAATGTTTAAAGATAAATCAGCTAAATGCTGGAAATGTTTGCATTTGCCGGTATCATATTATCATATAAGGTGGTCATGTATGGAAGCAAAAAACTATTGGTCTAGAATAAAGATATGGTTAGAGGAAATGTTACATAAACCTATAGAATTAAAACCAGAGATTTTTCTATTGGGTATTTTGCCAGAAAGATATAGCAAAAAAGAAGTATACTTAATTATGCATAAAATAACAGCAGCAAGAATTGTATTTGCACAAAATTGGAAGATGGAGAAAATTCCGTCAGAAGTAATAAAAAAGATTTTAGACTGTGCGGAAATGAACAGATTGACATTAAGAATAAAAGATAAAGAGGAATTGGTGTATTTCAAGACATGAGAAAGATTCTACGTATGGATAGAAAAGAAATATGAATAAAAGTTGATAGATAAATGATATAAATAATAGAAAGTTAAATGAGGGATAAGATAAAAAAGAAATAGAAACTCGGATGACACCAGAGTAGATGGAAAAGGGGGATGGATGGGTGGGAGAAAGAAGATTATAAATATAAATGTACAATTATGAAATGATAGATTGGGTAAAATGGGAAAGAAATTGAAAAGAAAGTATATATTATTAGAAAATTGGACTTGCTCGGATACCAAATAAGGGAAATATTGCACAACAAAGGAGAAAGAAAGGAAAGAGGAATAGAGGGATAGAGGAGGAGAGGGAGAGAGAGGAATGGAAGAGGAAGAGGAAGGAGAGGAAGAAAGGATAGGGGACAAGAGCAGGAGAGAAGATGAGAAAGGGGGGAAAGAGGGGAGGAGTGGGGGAGAGGAAGGGGAAGTAAGGGAGGAGAGGAGGAGGAAGAAAGGAGAAGAAGAAAGGAGAGAGGGAGAGGAAAGAAAGAAGAAGGAGAAGAAGGTTTGTTGTGAAAAGAGGGAAAAGAGAGGGTAGAAGAGCAACCCCAAATGTAATTAAAAGGTCTTATTTTTATGCTTTCATTAGGAAAAAATATGTATATATATATGATCAATTATGGATAAGAGAATGTACCTTTACAATATATAAGAAATAAAAATAAAAAACTTTTATTAAAAAAAAAAGCCCAAAACCAGGTAGATGAGCTTGGGCCAATCATTTTCTTGCAACCTTACGAAGGAGGCAATGCAAACCACTCCCCGTTTCCCCCCCAAAAAAACTTGCTAAGAAAACTACAGGGACTTATCAGTGGTGGGTTTCACTTACCTTTCCTACCAGTTTGCTCGCACAGAGCGTATTTGATGGTGTCCGGGCGGGTGGGCGGAACCTTCCACTGCCACTACTACTGGTTCGCCTGATCCGGGGTGAACCGGTAGCGACCCACCACTGGCACTTATCCATGCCAGAAGGTAACACTGAAACAAGGGCATGTTTTTTAAAAAAAAAAAATGAAGAAATCATTGTTTTCTCGTTAGAATATTATTGGTAAGCAATGGTTTGTTTATTAATTGATCACTATCTAGATTAACTTCCCATGCTAAAATATCAAGCAGTAGTGAAATCCAAATTTTTTAAGTACCGGTTCTGTGGGCTTGGCTTGGTGGGCGTGGCAGGGGAAGGATAATGCAAAATCCCCATTCCCTCTCCACTCCTGGGGGAAGGATATTGCAAAATCCCCATTTCCACCCCACTCTGGGGCCAGCCAGAGGTGGTATTTGCCGGTTCTCCAAACTACTCAAAATTTCCGCTACTGGTTCTCCAGAACCTGTCAGAATCTGCTGGATTTCACCCCTGCAACAACGGTTTATAAAATAGAAGGATTGAGTACAAGTAACATGTTAAACGAAAACAACAACCCACTAGACTAAGGAGGAAAAGAATGTTGCAGGTCCCATTCCCTAAGGAGATACATCAGAAGAAGGGCCTTCTCTGTGGTGGCTCCCTCTCTCTGGAACATCATTCCCCACCCCCCCCCCCCCCCCAAGATTAGACTGGCCCCAGTCTAACACTCTTTTGGAAGGCCCTGAAGCTGTGATTCTGTCAGTGGGCCTGGGGAACCCAGAGCAGGATGAAGCCCATTAAATGGTTAGTATGAATGTGTGTTGTCGCCAGGGTGGGAGGCAGAGGTGGGTTTCAGCAGGTTCTGACCAGTAGCGGAAATTTTGAGTAGTCCAGAGAACCAGTAGTAAAAATTCTGACTGGCCCCTCCCCCATCTATTCTCTGCCTCCTGAGTCCCAGCTGATCGGGAAGAAATGGGGATTTTGCAGTATCCTTTCCCTGGATTGGGGAGGAAATGGGGATTTTGCAGTATCCTTCCCCTGCCACGCCCACCAAGCCACACCCACCAAGCCACACCACGCCCACCAAGGCCATGCCCACCAAGCCACACCATGCCCACCAAGCCACGCCCACCAAGGCACACACCACGCCCACCAAGCCATGCCCACCAAGCCACACCACGCCCACCAAGCCACACCCACCAAGCCACACCACGCCCACCAAGCCACACCCACCAAGCCACACCCACAGAACCGGTAGTAAAAAAATTTGAATCCCACCATTGGTGGGGATGTGTGTGTGGAGGGTTATTATTTCATTATTTTTCTTTTTTATTATATCTTATTTCTTTTATATGCTGTTTTTATATCTTTGTAAGCCACCTTGAGTTGCTATGTGCAAGTACGTGGCAATATAAAATGTCTATAAATAAATAAAAAATGGAAGAAGTTAGTTCCAAGCCTACTGAAGAGAAGGGGACGGCTGAGGAAGAGATGATTAGATAGTGTCACTGACGCAATGAACATGAATTTGGGCAGACTCCAGGAGACAGTGGAGAACAGAGTGGGGCCTGTCTGGGCTATATCTAAGGGGTCGTGAAGAGTCAGACACGACTTAGTGACGGAACAACAAAGTCCAAATATCTTTTCATGCTGTGGCAACAATCCATGGATGACTTCCTCTGTTTATAACCAGGTTTCCCTACAGCAAAAGCCTATAACATAAGTGGGACAGAGTGAATGAATGACTGACTGGCTCAAGATCACCCATGGAACTCTATGGTCAAGTGAGAATTTGAACCTAAATTTCCTAGATCCAAGCTCAACAACTTAACATTACATGCACCCTCTAGCTATAAAGGTAAAGGTAAAGGTTCCCCTCGCACATACGTGCTAGTTGTTCCCGACTCTAGGGGGCGGTGCTCATCTCCGTTTCAAAGCCGAGGAGCCAGCGCTGTCCGAAGACGTCTCTGTGGTCATGTGGCCAGCATGACTCAACGCCAAAGGCACACAGAACACTGTTACCTTCCCACCAAAGGTGGTCCCTATTTTTCTACTTGCATATTTGATGGGCTTTCAAACTTCTAGGTTGGCAGAAGCTGGGACAAGTAACGGGAGCTCACCCTGTTACGCGGCACTAGGGATTCAAACCGCTGAACTGCCGACATTTCGATCGACAAGCTCAGCGTCTTAGCCACTAGTCACCCCTTTATATCAGTGTTGCTCAACCTTGGTGACTGTCTGGACTTCAACTCCCAGAATTCCCCAGCCAGCACTGCCTTATACATTGTTCCATCACATATGCATCAATTGGTTTTGCGGTGCTTTTGCCTGCTGTAATTGCAGAGACAGGTAGATATTTTAGTTTAGAAAAAAAAATTAGAATTCTCTGTTAGCAAGTCCTTGATCCCATCTCAGAGCTATAGTGTCTGAAGTTCCTTAGGGAGAAAAAGCTCTTGAGCGGATTTTAAAAGTCCAAACCTTTTAGCAGCTTTTATACACAAAGGAATGTTAAGCTATGAATCATTTTGAGGAGTTAGCATCAATTTTTGGTTGAGCTTGAAAACTTAAGTAGGGACAGATCTGGTTAGAATTTGAACAGGCGGCTATCAGAAAATCCCTGGGTTGTAGGCAGTACTGGGAAGTTAAAGAATATATCCAGAAAGCAGCAATAAAGATATTTTCCCTCTGCATCAGGAGTGTCCAAACCAGGGTGAAATCCAGGAGGTTCTGATAGGTTCTGGAGAACTGGTAGCAAAAATTTTGAGCAGTTCGGAGAAGTGGCAAATACCACCTCTGGCTGGCCACAGAGTGGGGAGGGAATGGAGATTTTGCAATATCCTTCCCCAAGGAATGGGGAGGGAATGGGGATTTTGCAGTATCCTTCTCCTGGAGTGGGGTAGGAGTGGAGGTTTTGCAGTATCCTTTCCCTGCCATGCCCACCAAGCCACCCCTGCCAAGCCACGCCCACTAACCTGGTAGTAAAAAATATTGGATTTCACCACTGGTCCAAACTTAGCAACTTTAAGACCTGTCGATTTCCATTCCCAGAATTGCCCAGCCAACCAAGAATTCCCCAAGCTGGCTGGGAAATTGTGGACATTGAAGTTCACAAGTCTTAAAAGTTTCCAAGGTTGGATACCCCTGCTCTATACTGTTTTCAAGAGAACCACAGGGATGTGTGAACAATATTCCAGAAGAAAAGTAGATTTCCACCCCCTCAATGTTTTTAAGGGGAAATGAGCTTGACATGCCACACAACTTTAGATGTGAGCTTAAGATAAGCTTCAAATGCTTAAAGATAATCACTCACACCAATGTGAAAGAATTTTTGCACTGTGCAGCCGTCTTGAACAAAGTAACGTTAGAAGGGTGTCTTTAGAGCAGTATTTCTCAACCTTGGCCAGTTGAAGATACGTGGACTTCAACTCCCAGACTTCCCTGCCTGCTTAATTATGAATAAAATTATTATTTAATTGTGAATTAAATTTAATTATGAGGAAAATTAATAATATTAAATGATGAATGCAGTCAAACTGTAGGTCAGAAATTGGGAATATGCATCAGCTAGTTTGCAGTGTGTGTGCATCAAAGTAAGAATCCATCCATCGGTGATAGATCTGTGCTGTGGTTCTCAACCTTGGCCACTTGAAGATGTATGAACTTCAATTCCCAATATTCCATGACTGGGGAATTCTGGGAGTTGAAGTCCACACATGTTAAAGTTCACAAGATTGAGAAGCATTGCTCCAGGTAGAAGGCAAGAGTTGGGAAATTCAGCACCGTCTCAGTTCTTCGTCTGGTTCTTTCTCCAAGTAATATCGTCTGTCCATTTCTGTGGTGCCTTTTCCTATTTGTTCCTCACTAGATGTGCTTGATAACAACCCCCATCAGCCCCAGGCAGGATGGCTGAAGCTGTGACATGGTGGGAGTAGCAATCCAACACATCTGGAGGACATCATCTTGCTAGCAGCTAAGAGTTTATTTCAGGAATGGATTCACAAGCGGGTTCACAAATGGCTAGCTCACTAATCTCATCCTATCTAAATGCCTGAGATTATCCCCAATTGAGTAACCTTCCTGGGACTATGGGACACCTAAACAAGGTTGAAGATCATAATGCCAGATATTCTTTCGGAAACCCTCTTTAAACCACCATTCAGAAAACAAGTGAATGATATTTATTTATTTATTTTTATTTATTTATTTAATTTGATTTATATGCCGCCCTTCTCTGGAGACTCAGGGCGGCTTACAGTGCATTAAGCAATAGCCTTCATACTTTTGTATATTTTATACAAAGTCAGCTTATTGCCCCCCACAAACTGGGTCCTCAATTTACCTACCTTAGAAAGGATGGAAGGCTGAGTCAACCTTGAGCCTGGCAAGATTCGAACTTACTTTAATTGCAGACAGCTGGTGTTAAATTACAGTGCCTTGTCTGCAGAGCTATCCAGGTATCTGTTCTATCCAGACCTCCCTCTGGAAAGAACAGCAGATGATGATGATGATGATGATGATGATGATGATGATGATGATGATGATTTACTTTATTAATTAAACATGAAACTCAGTCAACTGAACATTCAAAAATGCATCACAAATACCATTGACTGGTGCTACTGGTTAATATGGGTTGCTGCCAGCGTCCTAGGTATCAAATTATTATTTACTTTATTCATTAAACAATTTATATTGATTTTGTTTCCTGACTGCTTATTTGTACCCTATGACTATCATTAAGTGTTGTACCTTATGATTCTTGACGAACGTATCTTTTCTTTTATGTACACCGAGGGCGTATGCACCAAGACAAATTCCTTGTGTGTCCAATCACACTTGGCCAATAAAGAATTCTTTCTATTCTATTCTAAACATGAAACTTAAGTCAACTGAACATTCAAAAATGTATCACAAATACCATTGACTGGTGCTAATGGTTGATACAGGTTGCTGCTATTATTTCCTTTGCAGTGATGAAGAAGTGGATAATGATGATAATGATATTAAACCTGTCTTTACATCGATGGGAGTCACTTGGATATTCTTCTCTAAAAAAAGGGAGATAAAGGGGGGGGGGGTGCACAGAAATTTTCCTCCCTCCTCATTGCAATAGCAACATGCAGCACACAAACAACAATGCTCTAGCAACAAGAACGTAATGCTCTGGCAGGAATGCAAGGCTTTAGCAACAAGAAACAACTTAATTGATTCTTGCATGATAGATCTCTTATTTTTCCCTAATCCTATCAGTCCAGGAAGGTTTCTGGCAAAGATGAGAACCCAGGGCATGGGTCCTTTGCCTCTCCCCACCCGCCTCCATCATTCACCCCCAACCCTGGAGAAGATCAACCTCTGCTACGAGAGAAGGAAGGTTCTCCTTACCAAGAGACACGCAGCCGAGGAGGCATGGAATTGACTCATTCACCAGCCCTCCGCCACCGACACACCTCCCCTGCTGAAGCAGGCAGGCAGTGCTTTGCTCCTACACCCAGGACTGGGACTCAGGTCTTCAGCCTGATGAATCTAGTTCCATCTGTAACAATCAAGGTTTCTTCTGGATGGCGAGAGCAGGGGGAGAACAGGGAGAGAAAGCAAGCGGCCGGGGGGTGGGGGGAGTGGATGATATGGGAGACTGTCTTTGCTTAAGCATTGCCATGGTTACTTCCCTGACCCAGTTCTTCTCACACCCAACAGCAGAGAGCTGGGGAGGGGGGCACAGAAGTGGCGGAAAATAAGAGAAACAGGAAGAATAGAGTGGGCACGGGAGAAGCAGCATCCAGGAGCAAGAGAGCAAAGCTTTCGTCCCATGGTGTCTAGTGGCCCTTCTTCTGCATTGAGGGGGAAGGAATATACAGCCATCTTGTCCAGTCTAGTATCCTCCAAATGTGTTGGTCTTTAGTTCCCCACTGGAGGGAATAACAAGAGGTTCGGTCAACTAATTTGGAGGGCAATTCCAACCCTAATGCAACATAAGAGCCTTGGTAGTGCAGCAGACTGAAGTGCTGTTAAGTAGCACCAGCTGCTTGCAATTACTGCAAGTTCAAATCTCACCAAGCTCAAGGTTGACTCAGCCTTCCATCCTTCCGAGGTAGGTAAAATGAGGACCCGGATTGTGGGGGCAATAAGCTGACTTTGTATAAAAAAGAACACCGCTTAGGGGGGACAGGCGAAAGCTCTAATAAGCAGGTATATACAAAAGTATGAAGGCTATTGCTTAACGCATTGTAAGCCGCCCTGAGTCTCCGGAGAAGGGCTGCATATAAATCGAACCAATAAATAAATAAATAGTAAACATCGCCATTATATCTGAAAGATCAGCTTAGTCTGGCTTCTGGTATTAGAAACAATTTCTTGATTAAATTACAGCAATAATAATGTAATGATAGGAATCTTGATCCTTAAGAGGGGAAGCCTCCACCTCCCACCCCCCAAATACATAGTCAGGGGAAACTTTGATTAGAACTAATGAAAGAGAAATAAAAGAGCATGCACTTTTCTTGAGTTCTCCAGAATTCTTGGCCATGCAAGATAACCAAAAGCCAGAGATGGGGAAGAATCAAGAAACTCACACATCAGGCTAGATGTTTCAAACATGAAGAGGCATATTTCAAGTCAGCTTCCAAACAGAGCATTAACTACCAATAGAAGAGAATATTTGTAGCTTGAACTGTGGAGTCCTTCATGCTCCCTAACCTAAATTGTTGTTAAGTTAATTCTCGGCTGTTCTAATAAAGTCTGTTTGTTTTGGAACTGTTTACGTCAACTACTACCTACTTAGGCCTGGATCACAACACTTGTTTTCTTGTGGATGTTTCATTACCCAGCTAGGTAATATCATCAGTGCTCAAGTTACCAAGGTAACTGGTGATGTTTCCTAGTTGGGTAATGAAGTCTCAGCAAGGGAACAACCAAGAGAGTACCAAGGAATCTACAGCACTAAGTACTATTGGTGCAGAGTTATGCCTAGAATTTGGGGTAAAGAAAATGCCTGTGGAAAGTCTGTTCTCTCCTAGAAGGAAGGGAAATCTTGGCTCCTGAAACCTTGGAGAGATGCCACCTTGTCAGCCACGCCTGGGCCAAATGGACAAATTGCTTTGATTCATAAATGTGCATCTTTTAACTATGACAACATCGGGCAGATTTCTTGGGTATGAACCAAGAACGACAGGTTCAATGCCAGAGACAGAGTTTTTGGACTAACATAATCTCTCAGCAACTCAAGCACACTTTGTTCTCTGGAGATGAAAAACCAGAGCTATCTCACTCTTCTCCTGTGCCTTGTCCCTTCTGTACCCCCTTTTCTTAGGCTCTTGGCATTCGACCCCAGCAACTGCTAAAAGTCCATTTTGAAGGCACCGTTTGCTGCTAGTTTTCATCGCACCTTTCGTCTTTCCTTAAATTTAAGCTTAAAGCCTTCAATGGGACGTTTTCAGGGACATTGGGGGTGCATGAGACTCTGCATTCTGTCTCTGGGTGAGTGAAATCAACAACCTGCAACAAAATACCGATGATCATCCATTGTATCTGCACTCAAGAGTACAATGTTTTAATCAATGCACAAAATGGCTGATTTCTCACATTGCTAAGACTTTTGGTTCTTTTAGCAATGATTTACTGAACCCACTAAAGTTTCTTGGCTTACATAAAACATTAAGATCTAAACCGTAGTTTACAAAGCTGAGTTCACACAAAACACACACACACAAAAAGAGCTTAGCAAAATGTCTTTTGAGCTTATTCAGTAAAGTGGAAAGATATTGCCTTCGCTCCTGCTTATGTCCTGATCTGACCCATTTTTCTCAGTTTGCACAATAAACTAACCAAACAGGTTGATTTCAGGCAACATATTAAGCCACAAGGAAACTCTCTGTGAATAGTTCTGTTGTGTAAATGCAGGCATTAAATTTGTAACTGATTTGGCAAACAGCCAGCCAGCCAGCAGCTCAAAAACAACCAACCCCCCCAAACCAATAATAATAATAATAATAATAATAATAATAATAATAATAATAATAATAATATTAAGAAGAAGAAGAAGAAGAAGAAGAAGAAGAAGAAGAAGAAGAAGAGGAAGAGGAAGAGGAAGAGGAAGAGGAAGAGGAAGCGGAAGAGGAAGAGGAAGAAGAAGAAGACTACAAGTACTTGGGGATTTTAGAAGCCTCTGACTTAATGTATAATAAAGTCAAGGAATTAACTTCAGCCAAGTACATTCGGCGAATTCGTAAGATATTAATGTCCAAATTGAGTGGAGGAAACATCATAAAAGCCATAAATACCTGGGCTATACCTGTGATTAGATTCTCTGCAGGAATAATTGACTGGACCCAGATGGAGTTAGACAATTTGGACAGAAAAACAAGGAAGCTTATGACAATGAATCATGCCTTGCACCCTAAAAGTGATGTTGACTGATTATATTTACCAAGAGCAGAGGGTGGTCGAGGACTCCTACTAGTAAAGCAGACTGTGGAAGAAGAAAAACGCAGCTTGAATGATTACATCCAGAAAAGTGAAAAACCAATGATTAAGGAAGTAAATAAAGGAGGCCTTTTAAAGACAACTAAAACAAAAGCAGAATATAAGAAAGAAGTAATTGAGCAGCGAGCTGAAAATTGGAAACACAAAGCTCTGCATGGCCAATACTTGAAAAGTATTGAAGGCAAAGCTGACCAGAAACTAACTTGGAACTGGTTAAGATCAGGAGTACTGAAAAAAGAAACAGAAAGCTTTATTTTGGCAGCTCAAGAACAAGCCCTAGCCACAAACTGCATAAAGGCAAAAATTCAACATGTTACCACCAACAGCAAATGCTGCCTCTGCAATGAGAAAGATGAGACAGTCGACCACCTGATCAGTGGGTGCAGCAAAATTTCACAAACTGACTACCTACAACTCCATGACCGTGTTGCTAAGATCATTCACTGGAAATTGTGCCAGAAGTTTGGATTTGAGTACAGCAAAAACCACTGGGAACATCAGGTTGAGAAAGTTTTAGAGAATGAGAAACTCAAGATCTTGTGGGACTTTAGGATTCAGACTGACAGGCACTTGGTCCACAACACACCTGACATAACAATAGTTGAAAAGAAAAAAGTATGGTTCATTGACATTGCAATACCTGGTGATGCACGGATTGAAGATAAGCAGCAAGAAAAAATCACAAAGTACCTGGACTTGCAAATTGAAGTTGAGCGACTGTGGAAAAAGAAATCGTGTGTTGTCCCGATTGTAATTGGAGCCCTTGGAGCAATCCCCAAAGGGCTACCCCGCTATTTAGAAATTCTAAATTTACTGGACTTGAACATTTTGACTCTACAAAAACCCACCTTACTCGGAACAGCTTACATCCTCCGACGATACCTTAACAGTTCCTAGGTCCTTGGTTAGGACTCGAGCTGCTGAGCTTTTAACCAGCCTCAAAGGCTGTGAATCTCACTAAAGATTAAATAATAATAATAATAATAATAATAATAATAATAATAATACAGAGTTGCTCCCATACCATGCAAGAATGCCGTATGTCAGGACACTCTCAATGGTGCTGTGATAGTAGGACAGAAGTAGATGCTGAGATAGATTTATCTTCCTGAGCATTCTCAGGAAGTACAGCCTCTTCTGTGCCTTCTTCACAAGCATGTTAACATTCATAGTCCATGAGAGGTCCTCCGAGATATAAATGCGCAGAAATTTAAAACTACCAACCCTCTCCACCTCCTCACCATTTATGTACAATGGTAAATGTACATCTCTCTTCCTCCTGAAGTCAATTATAAGTTCTTTAGTTTTTTTGATGTTAAGTCTAAGATTATTTTCTTTATACCACAATGTCAGCCTTGTACTTCCTTTCTATAAGCAGACTCATTGTTCTTATTAATGAGCTCCACCACTGTCATGTCATCTACAAATTTAATAATTGCGTTGGTGTTATACAATGGGGTGCAGTCATGTGTATACAAGAAATAAAGGAAAGGGCTTAGCACAGAACCCTGGGGGGCTCCTGTGCTTAGTATAGAGGAATGGTGAGATCCCATCCTTACTGACTGTGGCCTATCTGTCAGAAAATCCTTTATCCACAAACAAATCCTCTGATTTATACCCAAATTGGACATTTTAAGAAACAACCTATTGGGTAAAATGGTGTTAGTGGCAGAGTTATAATCCACAAATAACAGCCTCGCATATGTTCCGTGTTGTTCCCAAATGATTCAATACAGTATGGACAACGATAGACATAGCATCGTCCGTTGATCTATTACTCCTATATGCAAATTGGTATGGGTCCAAAGTAGATGGAAGACTAGCCTTAATATAGTTCAACACCAGCCTCTCAAAACATTTCATGACAACAGATGTTAAAGCCTCCAGTCTATAATCATTAAGGGATACCACTACTGTCTGCTTAGGGACTGTCACTATAACAGATGTCTTCAGGCAGGTAGGGATAGAGCACTGCGACAGGGATAGATTGAAAATATCCATGAACACTCCAGCTAGCTCTGCAGCGCAGTCCCTAACAACTCATCCCATGATTCCATCAGGCCCAGCTGATGGAAATCAATGAGACATTAGATGTGAACTTCATTGGACAAACAAGACCT